TTCTAAAGGAATCGATAATTAAGAGCAAAGCAAAGAAGTCGGATGGTTTGTGGAGATGTCAAATCTTTGCTTCTTCTCCTTTTGATAATTTTCTTGTATATAAATATTCGTTAATTAAGAAAATAATAAGGTACGAGTAAAAAAGGGAATAATTAACGTAAATTAATTAACAAAATTATTTTTCCTCGAATGGTTGTAAAATAATTGATCTTCGTTCAAGAAAATTTTAATTGTTAAAATAATTAAAAATAAGAAGCAGTTTCTATTAGTAAAAATATTGAATTTGTAAAACATGGGAGGAGATAATAATAATATAATATACAATAGTATAAAAATAAATAATAGATATCAGAATTTTAATAGTAATTGAATCTTAAATAAAATGAAAAATATAACGGCAACATTTACATCATTGCAAGAAAGTTGTTTTATTTTAAATTTATTAATATTTTTTTGATTACTTGACATATTTTAATTTTCAACAGAAAATTCTTGTATACACATCTAATTTTTATTTTTATATATTAATGAAATGTATTAAATTGAAAATACTTTTTTGAATAAAATTAGTAGCTTAAATTATATCTTTGAATTAAAAATATTTTATATTTCCACTTTTAAAATCTTGAAAAAATATTTTAATTTAATGATGTATTAATTTGCTGTGATTTTCTCTTAATGGTTGTCAAAAAGAATTACTAAGAATTACTAAGAAAAAAATTAAAAAGTAAAGATAAAGGAATTCCGCATCTCACATATAAAACTATAAGTTAATAAGTCTTTTAAATTGCAAATGTACAATTATTTAAATTGACGTTTATGTGTTGTTTGATGTATCTTCTGCAGCTAATTGTGTAACATAATTTGTACAAACAAATAAAACAGGTGTTCGAAATTTTCAATAAGTTTCTTCATTAATATTCAATGCTGTAAATGTTAAGTCTCAATTTGACTTAAGTCTTAACTTAATATATATATATATATATATTATTTATTTAAAGAAAAATAAATAAGTGAAAGTAAAATAACTTAGAACACAATATATTTCTATAATATCTAGATATAATTTTATATATTTTAAAGAGGTGAACACTAATGAGGTGAAAAATTAATTGATCAAAATTTCAAATAAAGTTAAAACAATAAGATTATTTAAAATGCTCGAATATTCGTAGCTGCTATATGTTTTTTATTATAACAATTGATTCAATGCTTTGAATAATAAATTATGTGAATTATTTATTGAAATAACTTTATTCTTAAATTCAACAGTTAAATTAATTTAAAATTTAAATTTTTGCCCATTATTGATTAAAAATTTAAGGCGCTATTATTATATCCAGTGTTCAAAATTATTTGCCCAATATAGTAACTGGCTCATAGATTTATTTTGTTATTTTGATATTTGGAATTTCTTAAACATTTTATATATAAAAAATATTTATTAATAGAAAAGATAATAAATAAATCTTAAGAAATGGAAGAAACAAAAGGTATTGATTTAATAAAAACTTGGAAGATTAAAATTTTAATGGATAATTGATATCTTATTTCTCTTATCTTATTTCAAAGCAAATAATTTTGATTTTATATAGATATTCAAAAGCATAGATTCAGATATTAATAGAGGTTTGAAGTATATTATGTTTTTGATTAGGATATAATGATAAAAAATAAAATATCCAATTAATAATAATTGATATTTTTTTATAATAAATAATGAAATAAAATTCAATTGACTGATTCCAAGAACAAATATCAAGAATAAAAAAATTAAAGAAAGAAAATTTAAAAAACTACAAAAATTTAAAAAACTTGAAATTAATTATGAATCTAATTCTTTGATATTATTAGATCTATTGTAATACAACATGAAATTGATATATTTGATTATAGAATAAATTTTGATTATATTGTTGTACTTGACATTTTTATGATTAAAATTTATTCATTAACAATTTAATAATTTATCTCTTTGGAAAGTTATATTCTCATTCTCATGTTACCATTCTAACTTCTATGTATCCAATTTTGTTTTAATTTAGGAAAATAAATTCACAAGTTTACAATATTTATATTCATGTATCATATCTCATATAATATTATTTTATTATTTTATTTATAATTATTTTAATATTTCTTAAATTAAAAAAACAAAAGAAAGATATCTCATATTCTTATCTTTTTTCCTATTATATATATTTTTTCATTTATTAATTTCTTCACAAAGAATCAAGCCGAGATTAATTTAACATTAACTCGCTCAATTCTTTTCCAATTTTCACAGTGCTGGACAAAATATAATAAGGATTTAAATATAATTGAATTATGATAATTTAATTATATATATTTAATTACGTTAATTTGATTATCATTTGCATACAATTAAATTATCATATACATATATAAATTAAAAGAAAAAATATATATATCTCGCACATCCTATATATCATAAATCCTTTAAAATAAATATTTTCTTTAAGGTATGTATATCATATGATTGTATGGTATATTCGATGAATTGATCTTGATCGATCGAACAAAGCGGATTAAAAATAAACATATAAGTCTTTCATTTATCCACAACATTGATATTGATTTCGTGATTCAAGTCACGAAACATGAAAAAATCAAGAAGAATGAATAAAGAATATCAATTATCGTTCGAAATTATTACATAGATAGTAACGTTGTGTATATAATTTTCTAGAAAAAAATCTATGGAAAGGAAAAAAAAAAAATTGGAAAATCTCATTATGAATGCGAAAATCTCGTATTATCATGCGTTATTTCTTATTATAAAGAAATCGCTAAAAATATCACACGAAGAAACAGGAATTTTAATCAACTTGAAGAATCTACGTTGTTATTCTACAACATATATTGAACATAACTAAAACTAAACATTGACTTCTAATGTATGAGAAATATAAATTATATTTGTTCATTATTATATTTCCTGGAAAAATAAATATAATTTTCCAATGCTGAAAATGGATCGAATTATCATTAACACATTTAGCGATTTGAGAAAAAAAGTTTACGTTGTTGAAGAAACGGGTGATAATGGATATCATAACAGAATTGTAAACGAATTAATAAAGAAACGAGTTCGTATCAAAAATAACAAATGTCGAAAAATCAGTTCAACGATTTTTTATTTCCAAAAATGTGACAATTTTGGAAATAATCTTGATCGATTATTATAAAGATCTTGATCTTTCAAGAAGCATATTTTTATGAAAAATTAAAAGATCTTGTTGTTGAAAATTTTATTTATTGAAACGAATATAAAATGACATGATACAATTTCAAAATGTTTATTTAGTTTAGGCGAGGGAAAAATAACTTTATTATATATTATATATCTAATAAAATATTATTCTAAAATAATTCCAATTCATTATCCCATAAATCCGCTTATATTCAGATATTTTTAATTTTTAACTTTCTTAACTTTTTTTTTGTATAAATATTTAGTATATTTAGTATATTTGTATATTTAGTATATTATATAAAGATTTAATATACAATATAAAATATAAAGTTTAAAGGATATATCCAATATGTAGCTTATTAATATATTTATTATACTATTGATTGAACATTAGAATTGATTTTCAATTTTGAAATCAAGACGAACAAAACTTGATATACAAAAATATCGATTCAGATTTATTTAATTAAATTAATAATAAACAATTTAACCCCCTTAAATGGAACGAAATAAGAATTTTGTAACGAAGATTCATTCTCACTTCATTCCCACCTTACTTCGTCTAAAATTTAAATCGTAATAAAATAAATAAACCGTGATCGAAATTTTTCTATTCTTCCAAATTTCATATTTGTTTCAACCCCTAGAATCGATCTTCCAAAAGAAAAAAAATGAATATATATTAACACCCTTTACTACAATATTATTAAACATATATATATTCTTCCTTCAATTACACGAAATATATCAAATATATTTAAATATTCTCACGCAACGCACACACGATAAGTCACGATTCACTAAACATTTATGGAAAATTTTTACACGAATACCGGTTGCCGGCGAAGCTGGCAATTTCCTTCTGGTTGCCGATATCGTATGGTTTCGGTGTGTAGACGACCTAAGAAAGAAGAGGTCTCGCGGTACCACCCTTGCCCTTGACTGTAGGCGCGAGACCGCTTGTCTGAGGGTTGTGTCGGAGCTCGCAGACAGGGTGAGTAGAGAAAGAAAGCGAGAGAGAGAGAGAGAGAGAGAGAGAGAGAGAGAGAGAGAGAGGAGATTGCGAGACGCAAAGCGTTTGCGAGTTTCCTTCCTACTTCTTTAGCGCTCGGTCTCCGCGTTGGTTTGCGGAGTTCGAGTTAGATGTATAGATATATATATATATATGTATACATACACAGTGTATATGTATATACACAGAGTAGAGGGATAGAGTAAAGTGTGTAGTAGAGCCGCGTCGAGTGGAGGGTGATAAGAAGGGCTGGTCTACGTTAAGTGGTCGGTTGGGTGGCTGTTTCGTCGGTTTCGTTGGTCTCTTTGGATAGCTAGTTGACTTATTCAATGATCCTACTTTATTATGCGCATTCGAAAGCGACAAGCGTTGCTCCCCGATTTATCTTGATTGTCCTTAAAGTATATTTCCTCGATCCCCTTACTTTCCTTCCAATCACTTCGAACTTGTATTTATTTTCGTCTATTTTGATCGAAGGTTAGGAAAGAAAAAAAGAAAAGTCGAAGGTTAGAATTTATTTATCTCGTTTTGGAATCACTTCGAACTCTGTATTTATACATCTCGTTCGGATCGAATTATGAGAAAAGAGCTATCGATTAAAATTTTTACATTAATTTTGCATTTTTTTAATAATTTCGTAATCTCTAATTAAAATTGTGCTTTCAAGAAGAAGAAACAGAGTGTTTTTAAGTGTTTCAATTTTTAGAGAAGACAAGAAATGCAAATTTTGTTTATCAATGTACAATGATTAATGATCGCAAGTTGACTTACCTTTCACGTGTTCCGGAGTATCTGCTGTACCAGCCCGCATAATGTCGCTCAAATAATGCTCTAACGTTCTCATATTGTCCAGTGGTGAGTTTCCATTAGCTGTCATGCGATCCTGCAAACATATCATTTAAATCTAAATTACTATTTATCAGTGCCCAGGGAAGATAATAAACAATTTATCATATATTTCTACGCGTCATGATGTCACATTTCTAATTTCGTACGAATAATTTTTCACGTTCAAAAAGAAATTCACGCGAGGCAGGTTTCTAAACTGAAGCGAGAAATAAATTCGAAATCGGTGGGATCGATCACGATATCCGTTCCCTTTACTCGTACCTTCGTATTCGTAACGTCGAGGAATTTTAATTTTTCATCGACTCTCGTTATCGCGTTTCATCGAAACGAGCCTCTCTCGCTCGAGAAAGGGCTTTTGAGGAAGAACGAGTGCCTCGATAGAAAACTTGCCCCGAAGCAATGTCGCCCGGTTGGATGAATAGAGTAACCAAAGACAAGACGAAAAAAAAAAAAAAAAAAAAAGGAATATAAGGGAGACGAGATAAAAGAAAGAAGAAGCAAAGTTCAAGTGTATTTTTCCTCGGGAATATCACGCGAAAACAAACGATGTAGCCTTCCATGAAAAATTCCTTCTGTGTTTTCTGTAATTCTATAATTTTAATCGTTACAATTAATCGTACGATAATACGATATTATTAAATCGTACCAATCGTTGAGAATTGTAGATAACGGACGAACTTGTGTCCTTGAATCATTTAGAAAGAAATAACTGATCGATCGCCAGCGTCCGACCACGCGTTGTCCTTTACTACTGAACTCCTTTCACGGCCAACCCGGCAAACGGGATACGAAATTTATTCGACCAAAATTTCAGCTACAACAAACATCCACAAAATCGAATGTAACATATATTCCAATTGTCATTCGTCACAATGATCGATTCGATTCGATTCCGGTATATTTACACGAATACGAGGAAAGATATAAACATAAATCGAAGAAAACGGAGAGTGCGAGAAAGTGAAACTTAAAGGAGGATTAAAGTGGCGGAAAAGAGAAGAAAGTGAGAGAGAGAGAGAGAGAGAAAGAGAGAGAGACGAGCCGAAAAAGTGAGAGAGCACGAAAGCTCGACGCCAGAGATAATCCTTCTCGTATTATACGCGCGCTTCTCTATCGTTCTCTCCGGGCGAAGGTGCAAAAATAGCCCCACTTTCTTCGCATCTTCTTCGTACCACCACCTGCAACCCCGGAGATGTAGGTATTCGTTTCCCACCCTTCCTACGTGGGACACGGACATGCCTCCAACACATCTGTATCCCAACCTACTTCCCCTTCTTTGGTTTTACAGCGCGCTCACACATTGCCGTAAACATGACCGGGGTGCACGTGCGCGGGTGGACACATGCGCACACTTACACAAGCCGGCCAAGCACAGATCACGAATGAGCGCACTAGCACTTTGCTAGCCGATTTCCGTGCACGCGCACGTATGAAGCGCATGCGCTGAGTAATCTCTCTCTCTCTCTCTCTCTCTCTCTCTCTCTCTCTCTTTCGGTGCGGTGCTCCATTTCCGTCTAGCAGAAGGCACACTAGAAAATCAATATAGGGAAACCAGGAAGCGACGGCAGGGCGTCGACAGCAATCTCTCTCTCTGTCTCTATGCAGGCTCCATCACAGTATCACCCCCCCCCCCCTATTTCAATTCTTTCTACTATCTTTCTTTTAACTTTATTAACCTTATTCATTTATCCAAACAATCCTCCTTTTTCTCGCGACTGTCCGCTCCGTATATCCATTTTTCGGTTACGCGGTTTCGTTCGATTGTTTCAAAAGAGTTTACGGTATAAAAAGTATGCTTGAAGGTATGTCATATTTATATTTTTAATAGATAATAAAATAATAGTATAAGGGAAAGAAACTGGAAAAATTAACGATGAAAAGTTGTATACCTATTTTAATATTCTCTTTGATCTGTTATCAAAAACTAAGATCAAAAAATATTATTTTTTTGAATCATCATTTTTGCGTAAACCAGAAATAGAATAAGGAGAATAGCTACGAAATCGGAATTGTTGCAGAATGGGGGGGAAAAAAAAAAGGAACTAGGATTCTGCCGCTATATTATGGCAACCACTCGTCAACCAACGATGACCTACTTTCGACTACGATTCCGACTCGCGGAAAACTACGTCATTCCCTCGTTATTATACAAACTTTTACTCTTTTGATTGAATTCGATTATTCGTCAATGAGACCGCCGATTCGATTCGACAACTCGAGTGATGAATAAGTTTCACTGATTTCTCTTGTTTTTTTTTCTTTATTCTTTTTCGAAAGCAAGGAACACCCGCAAGACGAAACAAAGCCGTGTTGTCGTCGCGTCGAGCAAGGACGATGCAAGGATGATTACCACGACGACGTGGCGGCGTCTCTTGAGCGGGGAATTTTCGGGAGGAGACAAGAGAAAGAGTTTACGCAGGGGGCGAAGAGAAAGACACAAAAGGAGAGGGGGCGTGAAAGGGATTGTTAGCGAGTGCTCATACACGCGTGCACGTATTCAAACGCGCGTATCCATCTTCGCCTCCGCCATTTCCGCGCAACCCGCCGGTCTAGACACGACCGTGTTCCTCGACCGTTGTTCTACGCGCGTTTTGTACTCATCCGGTCTCTTTTTCTTTCAACCAGCGAAACCAGACGCGTGACTCGTCTCCTCTTCTCTAAAACGCGTTCGTTCTTGCTTCCCCTCGAATAACCGACGCCGGCTATATCCCATCTTTCTTGCGCATATTCATATTCGGTATATTCGATCTCGCGTGAGCAATTATCGTTTTTTGTCGCATTAAAGATAACCAAAAAAGAGAGAGAGAGAAAGAAAGATCGTATCGAATGAACAAAAGATAGTGTCGAAATATAGAGAGAAAGAGAGAGAGAGAGAGAGAGATATCGATGCTGGTAACCAAGATGTTGTGTGGCAAGGTGGAAAGAGGAGGAGGAGGAGGGCATGAAAGCCGGGCGCAGAGGCACCTCGGTGTAACCTGGATCCCGAGGCGTGTGCGGAAGAAACGATTCCAGCCGCGAACTGGGTCACCGTTGGTGGAAACAGGCTAAACCGAGAGAGGTGCGGCACACAACGCGGTCGCGTGGCACAACGCGGCACGATACGGCAGAGGCGAGCCGGGGTATGCCAAGGAACATAGAGTTTCGAGAGGGAGAGAGATAGAGAGAGAGAGAGAGGGATGACGAAAGTGGAGGAAGGAAAACAGAGAGGAAAAATGGGTGGGGAGGCAAGGGAATTGATGGCGACGGAAGGGCGGAAATAGATAAAGTCGCTCTATCCTGGCCGACTATCGTAACGTATCCTTGTTGGCCAATTCCTATTTAATTGCATTTTGTTGCCACGAGCAACGAACGATCGCTTTACTCGGCACATATTTACAAGGAAATTTAAATATACGGCTAAAATTACCAAGCTTCAAGAAGATTAAAAAAAAAGAAAAAAAAACTACGGGAAGAATAAGAATACAGAATAATTATATCGTTCTTGTTCCAGCTACAGTGCACCAGGAGCACGAAACGAACGGTTCGATACCGGATGGTCTCTCGCGCAACACCCTCTCCGCTGGCAGTCGCGCTGCAGGCTCGCCCGCCCGTTGCAGTTTGCCGTATTTTATTACATAAGTTGCGAGCTTGTGTAACGCAACCGGTCTCCACAAGCTTAATAACTTTTTTATCGATTTTCTTGTGCTATTCCTCCTCGAGCACAACGCGATTCGATTGTTGTTGTTGTTGATTTTTTTTTTCTTCTTCTTCTTCTTACGCCGCTAAGGGGGAAATTTCGAAATCGATGCGGCGAATTTTTTTTCTAGAAAATCGGCTCGATCGATTCTCGATTTGGCGAGCGGGCGAAGAAGAATCGATCGATGGTGCACGCGTGGATTCCGAGGAGGTCGGTCGGTCGCGCGGGTGGGGGGGGGGAAGGAGGGGGAGGCACACTGGTGGAGTTCTGGCTCGCGAAAAATCTATATCACGCGAAACACCGGAGTGACCTATAAACCTCGTACCGGGTCGGGTCACTCTGCACCGGCGCAGTCCCGAATTCAAATAGGAGGGACCTTAAATTGGGTTAACGTCCGGATATATCGCGTCACCGGAATTAGTCGAAAAAGTTACTCGCCGCATCTTGGTTCGCAGAGACGAGATTCCAGGCTGCTACAACGGCCTGTTACACGAGGTATTCGTATATCGCACGTAACGTTTTGTTCTTCGTTTAGTACATATTTCAAGGACGAATTAACTCGAATCCATCGCGATTAACACCTTTCAATGTTCCTATTCGCGAAACCTCGTTCCATATAAATTCCCATAAGAAAAATTAATTCTACAATTCTCTATACCGTTGACCGATTAATCGATCGAAACGATCGCTTTTTTTTTATTATTCATTTTCCCGCTCTATCCGCTTCGACTAACCAGATGTCCATGTCTACGCCTACATTCCGATATTTAAGTGTACGATTTCGATAATTATTAAAACGTATACAAATAATTTTCAATTTCACCAGTCGTTCTCATTTTAACGTAACTCTTTTCGAAATAATCTACGAATCTACGAATTTTCGATTTGAATGTTGTATTTTCGTTTCCAAAATATACACAAATATATATATCATATATATCATATATCACAGTATTTCGTAACGATATACTGTCGTATAACAGCATCGCGTCAAGGTAAAGTCAATAAAAATCTTTATCATAGCGTTTGTTCAATGTTTTCCGAATCTACGCCGTCTTCGATCGTTTCCATTCGTCGCTCGAACTTATCATAGAACTTGGCCCAGTTTTTCCTCGTAGTGCAACGTGGATCGTTCGACGCTCTCTCTGTGTTAAAAGAGCGCGAAAATTTAGGGGGGAAACGCACGCGTGAGCCGAGCGCACGCGTAAATAGAGAGGCGCAAGGCGTAATCGGTGCTCGTCTTCGATTGGTTTGCCCTGGCTCTGGCTCTGGCTGGCCAGCCGGCCTACAAGCACGTGCCCCGATTCGCTTCCAAGGTGAATGACGACCGACCAGTTATCGGACTTCGAGCCCAAGCATTTTTTCGCTTCGTTGCGTTCGCTCTATCAGCTAATACCACAGTATTGGCAATGCGGGTATACGAGCCACTTCGATCGAACTATCTACGCACTACGTAGTATTTGTTTTCATTTCTCTACGACGAGTTTCGTCTGTCACGCGTAAAATCGACGCACATACAGCCATCGTATTTCGAAAGGAAGAATCACTTTCTATCAAGTTCGGTCAACGTTGATACGGTTTCCACGCAAAAAACGGATGGATTAATTTAATATATAGCATAAGCTTTTTTCGTGTATGACGTATGAAGGAAGGAAAACCGCAGAGAAATAAACAAAACGTATCTATTTCCGGTAAAAGGTTGTATCGCGTGTTCACCTGTCTTCCCCTTTGACGAATTAAATTTAATATAGTTTTAATATTAATTATGTAACTCTTTCGTTTTTTTTTTCTTTTCTCTATTTTTATATATTTCTTTTTTTTTTTTTTTTNTTTTTTTTTTTTTTTCGTTTGGAACGACGAAGTTAAATTGACGAATTCAGCACGAATTTTAACCAAAATGTGATTGTTCGTTTTTGGAATATTTTTTAACAAATTGATGAGTATCGATGGAATTAACATTTGAGAGATAATAAATGTTGTGAATGCGAGAGAAATTTCAAGAATATGTGATGAAAAGAATAATATAAGAATAGAGAAACGAATAAATTTTACTTGAACGAAATTGCGAATATTTATCAGGGATGATATTAAAGATGATATAAAAGATATAAATTCTGCTAAAGAAGTTGTGCTTAAGAGATATAAGAGGTATGAGGCAAATGCAGGTTAATGATATACAAGGTGTTTTATGCATAGATATATTAAAATGAATGAGAAAAATTATATGAAAAAAAATGATATGAAATGATATATTTAATTTATCTAAAAATGAAATATCACTTTTCCTTCTTAAATTGAAAATAACTTTTGATTAAATAAATTATTCTAACTTTTTATATCTATTATAAATAAATAAATTAATAATAAAATTACAATTGAAATTGAATATTAAGTTAAGATTTAAAATTTTCTACTATTCATATTATTCATCACGTGAATTATATTTCTTTTCATAATTTTTTTTTTTTGAGGTTATACTTTTTTTATATTTTAAGATACATCGATGAATGTCTTAAAGATTAATAATAAATTAGTGTTGTTTTTTTAAGTATTAAGATTTTTGTTAAAATAATCAACAATTAGAAAAGATGTATCAAGTAACACGAAGAAAAGAAAAATTTTAAGATGCAACGAAATAATTCTGTTATTTTATCTGACATTATTTTTTCATTTTAATTCTTTAAAAAAATATAAAAAGAAATTTATTTTTCAATTTATCTTGATCTTGTTACTAAACTTTCAACAATTAAGTTTTAAAAACTTATTGGTTAATGAAATCGAAATACTAATATAAATAATTGAACACGAAACTTTTTGTTGTTCGAATATAGTTCGAATAACATCAATTTATCACGACTTACGATTAACCAGGTTTCCTATAAGTTATAATTGGATTTTGGTAAACTCGACAAAGATCGGAAGAACCTTCTTGTTTCAAACCAGAAACCTCACAACGAAGAAATTAAATTTTCTATCATTTATTATTTTCATTTATTATTTTTTCATTTTTCCCTTACTTTTCCTTTCTTTCCACTTCGTTTGTCTATCCCTTCGTTCAGTGTATAAAAAAATCTATACACACATACATGGATACACACGTATAGTTTATTAAATCGAAACGAATAAATATAAACACTGAAGAAGCACGAAGGATAATAGCTCGCATAACAGAATCCGCCATTTCTCCCGGATAGTATGCAGTATCTATTTTTGACAAGTGGTTAAAATAGCTGAGCTTAAACTTCTGCTAGACACTGTTTGAACCGTTTGAGCTGCCACGCAGAAAAGGAATTAGGTCAGACATCAATAACAAAATAAGTATTGGAAAAGTATCCTCCTCTTTCTCGCTCTCTTTAAATCGCGCAGAGAAACGTAACGAAAAACGTTAAACCTTTCGATTATTAACCTCAAACCGATTAATCGATCAATCCATTTTTATTCGAATACACGATTCTTCGTTTTCATCTTTCCATATTTTTCTCATTCTCGATAGTCAACGTGGAATCGAGACGATACTCGAGAAAATTTCATTTCGAGTCGACCAATTAAACCGAAACGACGAGAATTCGAGGTTTTAGGCGGCCGAAAGTGGGTGTAGGTTAGGTTTCAATTACGTTTCGAGCTAGCGTTCGTTATCGATCGATACGAGGGATGCGTGTGCAATCGAAAATATATATATATCACGTTTCGGCGAGTTTTTCCAAATGCCGTGAAACGGCAGTACGAGTTTAAAAACGAGCGTGTCACACCGTTTACAGTAAGCAATCGTTGAAACAGCGGTTGTACCGTCTAAATTTAAATGCATGTCTCGAAGCGGTTGCATAACCTGGCATCGAATGCGTACACCAAACGAAACTGCGGAAGCTAAGGCTACCGGTATATACTTTTTCGACCCAACCATATATCGCCTATACCTCCGCAGCGTAACCTTTCTCGTAGGTGGTGAACGATCGATAACGGAATAAAAAAAAGTCGGTGTAAAAAAAGACGGCGGAGAAAGAGACAATCCGCGCACCGGATTCGCTTTGTCCTCGAATCGACGAGTTTTCATTTCGTACACGAGACAATTAAAAATTTTACACTTTAATAAGAATAAACGAATAAATGATAAAGAAGATAATAATAATAATAATAATAACAACATAAACGATGATCTAACCTGCTGAAACGGTGGCAGCTGTAACAAATCCCTCTCTTCGGCGGTGGTGACTTCGAAGGTGGGCGCGGGTTGGGGCGGATACATGTTACCCTTGCCGGGATACGAGGTGCTCCTTCGAAATTTAACAGGGCTGATGCAAGAGGGATGAGCCGCCGGCCCCGGATGGCCGGGAAACGTGGGACTCGGTTTCCTTCCTTGCAATCCAACAGCGGCCGCGGCCGCGGCCGCGGCGTGCAGGGACGAGTGCAGGGGAGGAAGATTGGGTACCGATCTGCCACGATTCCAGGGCGAGAGACCGGGGCTCGCGACCGCGGCAGCCTGCGGCCCAGCGCTCCATTGCTGAGGCGCTTGCGGCCCACCGGACCAGGCCGCGTAACCCTTCCCCGGAAGGTAAACACCCGGATGCGAGGTAGCTGCCGGTTGCTGTTGATGCGGTTGCTGCTGCTGCTGTTGCGACTGTTGCTGCTGCTGTTGCTGCTGCTGCTGTTGCTGTTGTTGCTGCTGTTGCTGCTGCTGCTGTTGTTGTTGAGCGGACGACACTTGAAGGCCGCCGTGCCTGGCGGTGGGGGCGGTCGCGGTTCCGTGCTGTTGCGGGAAATTGTGACTGGCCGTGATAGCGCGACGCGCGCCGGCCGACACGGCCGGCCCGCTACCGGCGAACAAGCCGGTCGGGCCGCCGGTCGGAAAGTTCTGAAAGGCGGCGATGGATCCGTTGACAGGTAACGCGTGGAGGCCCGTCTCATCCGGGGCCGACCATAAGCTCGGCACTCTACCGGCCTCGGTGAAACTCTGCAGTGCCGAGCTTGTGCTGCACGCGATCTCCTTCTCGGTTGAAGAGGGCGTCGTCGGCGTGATAGCGATACTCTCGACCTCGACCGCGTCTTTCGCCTTCTCCTGGCCCCCGACCGTTTCCAGGCCGGTGTTCGGGGATAGAGGCGCTGCTTTGCCACCGGCTTGCTTCTCGATCAACAAATCGTCCTGCATCGTCGATGTCGTGCCCGTTATCGTTACGCCGGCTGTACTGCTCGCGATGTTGCCCCCGATCGATGATTTGCTCGTGGTTGACAAACTACTACTCGGGAAGAGACTCGCCGCGCTAAAGTCCCCCATAAATCGTCGTAGTTCCAAGATCCACGAGTATCCTGCCGATCGTATCGAGGATATCCCTTTCGCCGACCAACTCCTTTTGGATCCCCCTGTCGAACGATTAGGATCTTTTAGGATCTTTGCCCACTCCCCCCTCGTTCCTTCCCCCCCCCCTCCCCCCGAATCGAAATCGAAAATTTCGACCCGTTCCCGTTTTAGTAAGTGAATTAAGTGTCGTCCCTGTTCACGGAGCACGGACGTCGTCGGACCACCCGTCGACCAGAGCTCGCGAGACAACTATCGATCCACGGCGTACGCGTAAAAACACCCACGAAGCCCGGAAGCTGTGCGAACTACACCGATATTTGGGTTCTCTTATTTTCGCCGTTTTCCTCGATTCCCTTGTCCCGATTTCTCTCTCTCTCTCTCTCTCTTTCTCTCTCTCTCTTTCTCTCTTTCCCTTATTCTCGACGTTTCTCCCTCCTTTTAATGCGCTTCGATCGCACGTTCTTTCGTGACCTGACGCGTTTCTTCCTCTCTCTCTCTCTCTCTCTCTCTCTCTCTCTCTCTCTCTCTCTCTCTCTCTCGCTCACTCGCTCACTCGATTCTCTTTCTCTCTATTGCTCTTCCTGTGTATATACCTTGTTTTGGACACGATAGCTAATAACGAACAGCTAATAACGAACGTTGGGGAGAGTGAACTATTCCAAAGACACAAGGGCTCCCTCGTATTTTCGTGTAATTCGACAGCAATTATTTTTGCTTTCTCTCTAGCATTCTGTCTAAGTTATCGAACGACAACCACCCGATGCTCGATGACCATCCCCGGTGTGTGGTATTCCGTGGTCTCTCTAAACCCTGAGCCTTGTATTTCCTTGTATTATTTCACTCGCCTCGGGGTGAGCATAATTTACCCTTACGGCGAACGTACACGGCGAGCCAGTCAGTTGGAATTCTCCCAAGAGAACACGCGAAGAAACGCGACCTTTCGTCTTGCAGCGCGACTATTTGTCGATTCCTTCGGTCGCGTTTCACACACACAGGCACGCATACACACGGGCTCACGTACATATGCAGGCACACACATACACACTCCATGCACTACACGAAACGAGGCCGGGATCGTCGTCGTTCGCCGTTGCGTGTAGCGAACGCGGCACACTACGAATACGATTACGCTTGTCACTGAAACACAGAATCTCGAGGCAGAAAGGATCGCGATCGTTTCGAACGCATCGAATCGAGATCCATGGCGAGAACCAGCGCGTATCTTTTATCGGCACACTCGCGTTAATCGCAACTGTTCTCGACCGATTACCGATCGCTCGCCCGATCGATCGAGTCACCGAACACGCACGGATCGTACGCCGCGACGTACGTACGCGATGCACGGGCCGCACTGTATCGAAAATCGACGAGCAAATCAAACTCGCAAGTTGCAGCGGGTATCCCCTTTTATTTTCGTAGCTACGCTCGACAGCTACAAGTGCACTGACAAATCTTCTTGTGACGGGAGTATCCTTCGTCCCATTACGTCGAATTATATTTCTAAGCCGTCGAACTTACCGTCGTCTCGGCTTTTCCTCGCTCGACCTAGCGCTGCTTCTCATTGGCAACTCGCGTACTATGACCACTCGCGGTTATATAGTTTGACCACGATACTGCTCTTGTCCGTTCACGTGCCACGACTTTTCGAACGATGATAAGTTGTAACTGTCGATTCGCGGGCAGTGGCGAGAGTTTCCCGGCCCACGTAAGTTTCGATCGATCTGGAATCGGACGGCCGGCTGGTTATTATTCGCGTTTCTTGGCTGCGCTCGACGGAGCACTCGATCGGAGGCCAGCCGAGCGCGATTCGACGACGCAGCTTCGTGGCTCTGCGTCGCGCGTAACACGATTCGTGCGTGGTGCCGACTTTTCAAACACTGTGGCCCTGCTGCGGCCCACACCATGCCAGCCGTAGTCTCTCTCCGCGTAGCCGTCCACTCGGCGATCTTCGGCCGCCGCTTCGTCCTCGTCCTCGTCCTCGTCGACGTCGACGTCGCTACGTCGCTGCTGCGTCGCACGACGACGTCGGCCACGCACGCGCGTTACCGCCTCTCGCCTTCGAGCCGCCGTCGCCGCCGCCGCCTTCGCCACCATCCTGTCTCGTCCTCCTCGTCGTCCACGTAAACACAAGTTGGCCGTTACCGGGATCGCAACCAACGAAAACCATCGTCGTGTTCCCTCGACGATTTCTTCTCCTTTCCTTCCTATTCCTCCCCCTCGCGAGACTTCTCAAATTTCTTCGCGGTTCCATCTGAATTTTCAAATCCATCCATCATTCGATACTGGCGCCTTCCCTTGCTCTGCCACCTTTCGCTCGAACGTACTTGTGCCTTCGGTTACCTACCGACGGAGATAAATAACAGAGTTGCATAGCATATCGCTACGTACATTTACAGTATTATCGTAAAGCTATCGTAAACACGTTCGACAATAACTACCTGCACGTTCTTCGCGATGCACGACTAGAAATTTTTTTTCTTCCGTTTCCTTCCGAACGGAAAGAATCTATGTTTTATTTGTTAAAATAAAATTCGTTATTCTGTATCGATTAATAACAATTTTACTAATCGTCGATTATTATTCGATCAATCGAAATAAAATAGCAATAATTGTGAATATCTTTATTAAGTGTCATATATTTAATAATTTTTGAAATATAGATATATGATAGATAAAAATTATTAGTATCTGTTAACTGATCATATTTTCTTACATTTGAAAGAACAAGACTTAAAATCCCGCTTAAAATTAATTATAAGTAATTGATGAATATCGTATGTGGCAATAGATGGAGTAACTGATTGCATGAGTCATTCAGCTTGACGTTTCAAGCGAACGCAAGTAACGATCGTGAAACAGAAGAAGAGAAAGGAAAAAAAGGATTGTATTTTGCATTATTAAATTTTTTTTTAAAATGAATAGACTATTTGGTCGACCTAAGCCTAAAGAACCATCACCAAATATTACTGATTGTATTGCTGGGGTAAATATTCACATTATTCCAACACCATAGAGGTTACGTTATTTTTTCATTTATGTTCTTGGCTGCGCTTGTGTTATTCATTTTTATTTTTTGTTAATATTTGTAACAGGTCGACAGCAGAGCGGATTCTGCAGAGAAAAAAATAGCGAAATTGGATGCGGAATTAAAAAAGTACAAAGATCAAATGGCCAAAATGAGAGAAGGTCCTGCAAAAAATTCTGTAAAAGCTAAAGCATTGCGCATTTTGAAACAACGTAAAATGTACGAGGCACAAGTAGATAATTTGCGTCAACAAGCTTTTAACATGGAACAAGCAAATTATGCTACCCAAACATTAAAAGATACTCAAACAACTGTAATTGCCATGAAAGAAGGAGTTAAACAAATGCAGAAAGAATTTAAACACATTAATATAGATCAAATCGAGGTATTTTCGATACAATATCTTGTTTTTCTTTGTCTTAATGTTGTTTAAATGATATATATGTATATATATATATATATACACGTTATAAAGGATCTTCAAGATGATTTAGCAGACATGTTAGAACAAGCCGACGAAGTACAAGAAGCAATGGGTCGCAGTTATGGTATGCCAGATATAGATGAGGATGAATTAGCTGCTGAATTAGAAGCTCTTGGAGATGATTTAGCTATGGACGAAGATACCAGTTACTTGGATGATGCTATCAAAGCACCTAGTGCTCCTGACAAAGAACCTGGTACAAGCTCCGTTAGAAATAAGGTTTGTATTCTATGAAATATTTAATAAATAAAAATAAAAATTTATAATAATTATTATATCTTTTATAAATACTGTACAAATTGTTTAAAAGTACAAAATTTCAATTATTTGATTTATTAAAAAAAATTTTTTTCTTTTTAGGATGGAGTTTTAGTCGATGAATTTGGTTTGCCACAAATACCAGCTAGTTAAAACGCTATTTTATACAAATCATACCTTTGCAAATTAATGTTATATCGATATATTCAAAAACGATTGAGATTTTTGAATTTTTTTTGTATATGCCATTATGTACAGACAATGTATATATTAACTATTTTGAATTTTCAAACATCTTGATACAAATTCGCGCAAATAATAAATCTTCGATGAATGAAATGTTGTTACCAATATATTATGCTAATCTATTTTTGTTGCATTCTCTTTGTGTTATATAATGTATAGGTCAAGTTAATAAATAAAAAAAAAAAAAGAAAATTAATAAAATTATGTAAAAATTAAAGGATTTGTAATCGAGAAACATTTATTTCATTTTGATTTTGTAGTTTTGTATATTGTGTGATTAAATTTAAAATCATTTCTTTGCAATCGATAAAATGCGTTTCTTCGAAACCACGTACTTGCGTATAATGATGTACATGTGCCTGCAACAACAATTTAATCGTGCTTTGAAAATCGTATTTAATATTTTATTTAGAATTTTATATTGTTATGTACAGGATGGACAGTAATATTTTTTTTCTTAGTTGAAAAATTTCAACTTTTATTCTTAGTATAACATAGATAAATAAAAATTTTTATAGAAACGAAGGAATTCAATAACAAATATAAATTTTTCTTTGTTTTTCAAAGTCCATGCTATACATATATATAAAAACCACATCTTTACCTTTCGTTTATATAATCTAGTAAATTGTTTTATGATATTTTCAAATAATGATATCATTGAGGAAGAATTTAAAAGACATAATAATGAGGTAGAATGTGCAGCTGGAGGTACAGAACATAAACCCACTTTCATAGCTTCAGTACCCCATTTTGCGAATGTAACTTTTTTCCGAAATCTGAAAATCAAAATTAAATTTTATACAATAATAATTACAAACATATATAAATGAATATATTATTTATAAAAAATCGCAAACAATGTACTTTTCAATATTTCGTTTTAAATCATTTACAGAACAATCTCCTCTAGCAATATGCGCAGCACTTAAAATCATAGAACCTGTTTGTAGTGGATCTAGTTTGATCGATTGATTGTTTCGTGACCATGCATTGATAAATATTTCATCTATAAGTCTAGAAGTAATGTACAATTATTTTTTATAATTTCATTTAATAATCTTAAAAGCTAGTACATACTTTCTTCCTTGTATATTGCATATTGTAGGCGCAGATAATGTTATTGGACTAACGCTACTAAATATATAATGTAATTTCGGATATGGTACAAGATTTGTTGCTATTTCGTTCATATCCATATTCAAATTACCAGGAAATCTAGATCCGCTAGGAAAAAGATATTCTTAATTTACAAATAATTGTTAGAAATTATTGTTAATCTTATTAATCTAATATTTATTAATCTATTATATATTACCTAGTTAAATGAAGAAGTATATTTGCAATAATACTATTCATATCCTGAAATGGTTTACATGAAATATTATAATTTATTTGATCCATATTCCTTAATTGTGCATTACATATATCTACAAGCGCTTCATTTTCAATAGGAAAAACACAAGTTGCATAATCTATAAGTTCTCGTGTTGCCAATAACACATTATATGGGGCTGTAACAACATCTTGCATAACAATTGGATATATGCATGATACTAATCTATAACAATAACAATAATACTATAAAATTAATAAAAATTAAAAGTGTAAAGTTCTTAAGAAGAATATATAAAGATATTAAATGAATGTGAAATGAATGTATTTTTATTATATAGATTGTACCTATCTATTGTAGGATAATTATCAGCTAGTAACTTTAAAACAGCTGTTCCTAATCCAGATCCAGTACCACCGCCAAGGGAATGCATTGTTAAAAAACCATGTAATCTAGGACATTTCTCTGCCATACGTCTGATATTATCTTCCAATTTATCATAATATTCTGTGCCATGAGTATAATAACCTACAGCCCTATAAATTACTTATAAAATACGCTTATAATATTTATATATAATCCAAGAATAATCTATTATCTGAATTATCAAAAAATCAATACCAATTATTTGCAGATCCTGGATAATTTGTTACAATACAAGTCTGATCAAATAAATCACGTACAGGACCTCTTCTCATTTCTCCTATAACACTATCCTCCATATCTATCAATATTGCCTATACATAAAAAAATTAATTTTGTAAATATATTTATATTATTTCATTTTTCTGTAATTTTGAACAAAAGTATAAAATTATAAATAAATATTATACCCTGGCTTTGACCTTAGCTTTTCTTAAATCAGACATACTTTTAAAACATAAATCTTTGGGTGAATTGTCAGGTATAACAAAAAAACTATCAAATGCATTAGATAGATCATTTATATTTTTAATATGATTTCGTTGTGTTTTAAGTAAATTTATTCCAGTATTCATTGTTTGTATACCATATTCGTGTAGTGCCAAAGGCCAAAATACTGAACCGATTTGGTTTCCACATTGTCCAACTAAAATCATTATTAACTAATATAATATAATTTCTATTTATTTTTAATATATATAATTCATTGTAAAAAAAAGTATATAATGAGATAATTACGAACGTAATATTATATAATATACCTTGTATCGAGATAAATTGACTCATTAAAGAATCTATAGAAAAAAACTTGAAACTTGAAATATTTAATATATTTTGATATTTTTAACTATAAAAATATATTTTAAAACCATATAATAAAATTACGCTTTTTCAATTTTATTCTCTGAAGTTGAGAGTAACGATATCTCGATATTTAAACTTTATCGACTTATTATCGAAACTTGTTTATCTCGATTTTTAAATTTTAAACGATTACCTGTTGATAAATTCATTGTGCTCTTGTTTCTATTTCAAAAATTTATAGGTTAAGGTAAAACGTGCAATTAACTTTAATAAAATGGATAATAGAATAATACGATCGTTCAGTGTAATTATTTTTTTACTTATTTGTAATTATTATTATACAGAATCTGCATTGTCTACGGATTCAAGTAAGTCATACTAACCTATAATTTTTTGTAAATTTGCCGGTTTTATTGCTATCGTTCGTATTATTAAAAAATATAAATAAGAAATAAAGAAAATATAATTCAAAATTTATTTTTTAATATTTATTTTAATTATTTATTTTATGTTCATACATTTATTTATATAATCATCGTTCTTTTATAAAAAAATTCAAAAATTCTTATTTTATTCACAATACAATATACATATAAATATTGTGTATTTGTTAACATTCCGTTTTTAATACTGACAAATATTTTATTTTGAAAATATTGTATTTCATACTTCGCGTTCATGAAAATAAATAGAAATATCTATTTATCATGTTTGTTTGATTTTCATTACCTGAATTTTTTCTAGTACATTTTTTAAAACCAGGAGATGTCTATTCAAATGACAAACCTGGATTACAAATCTTTTGTCACAATGCCAATTCAAAATATTTGATACATATGTGGAGAAGTTTAACAGTAAGAAACAATAGTTTGAGATTCATGTATTATATTCATAATATACAAATTTTATGCATCTCTAATGTTATATTTATATTATTACATTATAGATGCACTTAAATACAAATATAGATAATTATGATTTTTATATTGGAAAGACTCCTCAAGAAGTAATACAAAAGCATGATGATAATCAGCGATCTTGGAGCCTTAGTTTATTTAGCACAAAAAAGAGTAACAAATTGAAAATTAATCCATTTGAAGATATATGTATTGGTGTATATGTATATAATAATATATCTAATTTATATAAATATACAATGAGTATAATTCAAACACGTGAGTGCAACAAAGTAAAAAAAAAAAATGTTTTATATTACAAATAATAGGCAGTATAATACATATATTCTTCTACAAATAGGTATTGACATCTCAGAATTATTATTAATGCTATTAGGCATTCTAATATTTTGGAGTGCTCATAAACTCAGTGGAAATCCTTTATTTTATTATTTTACCTGTATAACTCTTGGTGTCTCCACTTCAATTATAATTCTAGTATACTTTTTTAGCAAGTTCTTATTAAGGGTAAATGTGATATTTGTGAATTCATTTCATTTACATATATTTTATAAGAATATATCATTTTTCGAAAATTAATATGCATACATAATTCAAGGGTAAACTTATGTACTTGATGATCGCAACTGGTTGGACAATGAGTTTTTATTTAATTCAAATGTTATGGGAAAATATCCAACAAATCGTAGTTCAATACAGGGAATGGGTGGCATGGTATATTTTATTAACGTCTTTAATCAGTTTCGTCATTAGTTATCGATTTGGTCCAGTTACAAATACTAGAACGAAAAAACTTATTCAATGGTTTTTACAGGTTTGTAAAATAATACGTTTAACGAAATGAACTATTGAAAAACTTTTGTCAGAAATTATTCTACTATTCCCATTTAATATTCTTTCTTTCGTTTATTTAGATAGGAGGACTGTTAACCATATTTTATAGCAGTTATTTTCGCGAAGCATCATTTTTTTGTTGTCTTATAATTACTCTACTTTATAATTTTCCCATTGCAATAATTCGAAAAGGACAAAATTATTGGTAAGTTAAATTGTTCGATATCAGCGTCGTCAAGCTTTCTTCAATTTGTTGCAAAAATGTTGTAAACATTTGCTTCAATATTCGTATGATATTAAATGTTATTTTTTAATTTAATTTGTTTCTGCATATATTTTCAATGTTATAATTAAAACTATTTATTCATAATAATCAAACACTGCTTTACTTGTTAAGTTTACTACGTTAATAAATTGTTATTTCATATTCGTTTATGTTTTTATTTCGAAAAAAAATATCAAAGTGAAAGTAATTAAATTTTATATTAATTTTATTAATTAATATTAACTATTTTATTTTATTTTTATAATTTAAAAAATAAAATATAAATTATTTTTAATATTTATAATTTATAAATTATATATTAAATTAAAATAATTTATAAAATATACAAATTATAAAATATTATAACTATTTTATAAATTATTTTATTTTTTATAATTTCTATATATTTTATTTTAATGCCTTTATACAATTTATATCTTGAATATATATCAAGAGCATATCAAAAACAATAACTGCAATAAGTGAAAATAAGATGGTGACAATAGCAGTTATAATACATAATATAATAGTAGACAGTAGATAGTAATCACAATATTAGCATTATCGTTTAGATGAACAAGAACATATATTACATATATATACCTATCTGAAATCAGGAAAAACATGTTTCCCATAAAAAGGAAGTTATTAACGGAAGACGAATATCGTAAAGAAGGAATAAGAGAAACTAATAAAGCGTTACACGAGTTAAGAGAATATTGTTCTAGTCCTAACTGTAATCCATGGAAAACAGTTTTAAGGTTGAAAGATCCGATAAGGTTATTATATATAATAAGATATTTTCATACAAAAGTCTATTGAATCTATTATATTAATTATATATATTGGAAGAGTAAGCGTGATACACTTGTATTACGCTTGTAAATGTAGTGTAATTTAATACGCGTGCTTTTAGGTTTGCCAAGTTTATGGAAGGCGATTCACATTTGTCCGACGATGAGTCGCGGGAACACGATATCGAGATTACAAGAATAATAGAAGAGTGTGAATATACGGATGATGAGGATTATTTGTGATAAATGTATATAAGAATCATTAGTTTTATTCAAAAGATCAATTCAGTGCAAATTAATGAACATACATATGTATATAAATACCAACTTCCATGCAATTTTGCACGATATTTATTCAAAATTGTTCCAAGTGAATATAAAAAGGAATTGTATTTTACATTTCGAATTTTTTACTCTAAAATATTGTAATTTAACATATAACTACTTTTTTACTTAACTGTAAGTACTTTTTTCATTATTTATTGTGTGATTTTCAAATAAACTTGTTGATTTCAATGTTGATTATAAATACGATTGTATCGTATTATTTTGTATATATTTACATATATTATCTTTGAATCAATTTATCGAACTGGATAATTAATTTTAACAACTAAATAGAACGCGAAATGTGCAGGGTTCGGTCATTAAGAATTCATGCCATGATTTCTTGCAATTTGTTACAGCCCTTCGTGATTGTATTCTTATCTGATTCGCGTGACTGCAATTGTCCAACCTATTGCAATTGCATCATATACTCTCATATTTGTTCTAATTATATTCGGAAATATGACTTTATATTTCTTGAGATATATTTATAAAGAAAAGAAAATAAAAAAAAAAGAATAAACATAAAAAACAACATAATATGTTCTGATTAATTTTATTTCATTAAAAGAAAAGTTATTTATTCAAAAAAATATTATATATAATAATAATTATAAAAATATTATATATAATAAATATTATATAATAATTATAAATAAAAGAAAGTAAGAACATTTTTAAAATGAATAAGAAATATGTATCAGTAATTAATTTAATTGTTCTTTATTTTTTTCTTCTAGCATTGGTTTACAAGCAACAAAACAATTAATATCCTAAAAATTTAAAAATTAGCAATGAATAATTTGTTTTTTTTTTTCTTTACTTTCAGTTTTTTGCCATTTTAACCTAATTGGTATCCACATATCATACATTTATACATACAATTATGTTGTTATTTCTTCTTTAAAGCTTGGTCAGATTATGTGCTTATTTGTTAGTTTGCTACTTTTCATTAAATAATTTGCTTGTCCTTAAACGATTCAGATGGAAATTCTATAATAGTTAGTATTAGTTAGTAATAATAATAGTTTAATAAATTGATGAAACGATTTGACATATAAAGATAATATATAAAGATAATCGGTTCTAGAGATAGAAAAATAGTTAGTATTAGTTAGTAATAATAATAATTTAATAAATTGATGAAACGATTTGATATATAAAGATAATCGGTTCTAGAGATAGAAAAAGCGTGAATTGATTTGATATGTTGGTTGAGATTATTTATTATTTATATATTTAGTTTAAATCCGCGTTATATAAAATGAGATAAAAATAGAATGAAATCGTTCTATTCTCCATTATACCATTTTTTCATTTTGTCTCTTGCTTGTCTTTTGTTTAAATTGCTTAATAATTTGATAAATAAACGTCCATCGATATTTTTATATAAATATTTATATGCTAATATACATTTATATATAATGAATGTATATAATATTTATAATGAATACATAACGTTTATATCGTACGATTCATTTCATTTAAGAGAAAATTATGTGCAATCGTTAAAGTGTCGTGATCAAGAGCAATAAACGGCAAAGAGGTGACAATTTCTCATTTCAAGGGCGTTCCTGTTCTCGCTTTTTCAAACATAAATATATGCATGCATTTTTCACATTTCATCAAGACACAGGGTACAATGGTCTTTCGTGGATAATGTGCACACGCGTGTTACTTTCTCCAGTGCGCAGCAAATTGTCATCGGATAACGCAGAGCACCGACAGGTGGTCTTCAATCGGGCACCTTGCAAAAAACATGGGCGCGTACTTGTGCGGCTTCAATACATTTGCTCGGTTGATAATATCGGATTACAAATTGCGACGAAACGTCTATGGATCGTTCGGCCACGATCGGCTTCTATCTTTCGCATAGTCAACGATTTTCAACGTAATTATACTGCTCTTTTTCGTAGAAAATGCGTGGCAAAAATCTTCCGTTAAAAATCAAATTTTTCGAAAGGTGTAGAAAATATTTTGTACATAGTGTATATTAAAAGATAAATTGTAGTTGGTTAAGAGGATGGGGGAAGCCACGTGATCGGCAGGTGGGATTGGTAACGGTCCAAAGGGCAGAAGCAAGATCAATAAGAAAAAGACTGGTTTTCCGTGATGCATGGCGCACCTGCTCTCTTTAGAGAGACACGAGAAGAGCGGATCTGATTTCGTTCACGATCCATCCTCAAAAATCTCGAATCGTCCCATCGAAGCTGGTGACAACGTTCGATTATGGTACCATTTCATATAATTTAGTTAATTAATTTAGTTCATTTCATTGATATATTTTAACGATTGAATATAAATAATCAATAATTATTGCGATTGAAGATAAATGCTAGTAACCAAATTATCGAAACATGATTCTAATGAAACTAATCATTAAGTGTAATTACGATTTAATGGAAAGTGACCACGATCGAGAATGACCTCGATCCCTAAGAGGATGTAAGAGATAAAATAAATGTGTAAGATGGAGAGAGAGAGAAAGAGAGAGAAAGAGAAAGTATCTTGCTTTTTGAAGGTCCCGAAAGGAGCTGTAGTTAAGGTCCCAGCCAGCGTATGCCATCTGCCGACTAGTTCTTCGATACCGGTTGCAAGAAGTAGCTGGCAGCCCTTTAAATGGACTCTACTTTGGCAATCACGGTCAGCTGCCTCGTTGGCGTTCTTTTCCAAGATGAACATCTTTTTTCGTACCATCTTCTTCTATATATTCGTTCCATGTAATACAAAGTCTGTATGCTTCTTTCTCTTTTGATTGTTCTCACAAATTTTATCAAGGCTCGAAATAAATTTTTATTCGAATAATTATTTGAATAAAATTTTTATTTTATTTATTTTAAATAATTATTATTTTAAATAAGATTATTTGAATAATAATATATCTCAATGATTATTTTATCACATATTTTATTTGATATTAATATATTTTTTTATTTGAATTCGTTATAAAAAGATAAATATATTTTTGTATGGTAAAATTTTTATTTTCTATTTTTCTTTTGTCTAGATTTAAGTACATTCTTTCTTGTACATAATTTTTTTGTTTAAAATCAAGTTTGTATTTTTTATATATTAAAATATAAAGAATTTAGAATTTTTTCTTTATTATATTTGAAGTATTTATCAATATTTTGATAAATAAACCATTTGAAAATAATTTATTTCTCAAATAAAATTTTATAATTTACTTATATTTTTGTATTTCTTAAATAAATTTATTTTTTGTTTTATTTTTATTTCAAATAAAAAGTGGCCACTTTTGCATATTTTTTTTTCTTCTTTTTTTGTATAGAAAATTGAAAAGAAAATTAAGGGTTACATATATACATAAATTATTGTTCGTTTGAATAAAGGAGAATTCTATGTATTTCAATATTACATTGTTAAAAATTTTTATAATAACATGACAGATGAAAGAAAGTACACGTACATTGTATTTTCTTTTCATGGTCTGGGATCACGGAAGCTATCGCATTTTTTGTCCGTTGAAACATATTTCTTTAATCGTTGGCAGTGTATAAAATAATTTTACTTACTAAATATTGGATTTTTCGTGGTTCTGTTATATACACAATACATAATATATAATAGATACGGCAATTCCAGCAGAGTTTGGCTTGAACCGCAAATCGTGCTTTCACGCGCATATCGTTTGATATTTTAATCGATAGATTTCTCGTCGCTAAAGGGGTGGATTCCTCTCGACTTTGCTTCCAATGAACCATAAATATTGGAACGAGTCTAATTCGTTAGGAATGCAGTAGTTCTCGATAAAATATTCTTGATATATTTTCAGATTTATTGAACGATAATATATTAAAAGAAGAAAGAAAAAAGAAAAGTGAAATTAAAAAAATAAATTGTGCAATATATATATATATAATCATTCGCATTCATTTTTCGATTTATGAACTAATTAATTTCGAGATCGAGCATCAACAAATATATTAGCATGATATTTTAGATAATGAAAATATCTTTTTCTTTAATTTTTTTCTCGTAAATAATTTCTTAAATATTACGAGTGCATCCACTTTCGCTAATAATTATTGAACTCAATATACAACGAAATAAATTGTAAATTGTTCGATGTAGAATTTTATAAAAAAAATCACGCTGTTAGGAATTTACACGGAAGATTATCGAAATATATGAAAGAAACTGAAATGAAGAATTCCATGACATCCCGATGACTCTTGGCGGAAATATTTCTATCGATGAAAATTCGTTCCGGATATTGCCTCGATGAAAGGAAATAGGGTCGATGAGGTAAACCAGAGTAAGTGGTATTAGAAACGAATACTTTCGGGGTAAATACAAATTTCTGAGAATGATTTAATAAAAAGGATGAAATCTGAATAGAAAGTAAATATATTAAATAATTTAATAATGCTTATTTTAATGAAAAAATTTTTATACAAAAAATTTATTAAAAATCTATGTACTATTATGAATTAATAATAGGCAGAATTTTTATTTTTTCTGTTTTTTCATAATTTGTTTAACTTAATATTAAGTAATGAATATATATGTAATATGTATTAACAATTGATTCGTAAATTTGAAACTTGAAACATTCAAATTTTATTGTTGTCCTTCTGATCTTCATCGATCTGATCTTCAATTTCGGCTGAATTCTATCCAATAAGCGGCATAAAGACCGGTTCATAGAAAACAAGCAAAGGGAAAGGAGAACAAAGAAGAACAAAGAGAAGTTATTTCATTATATTTTATATCGAGTGAATCTTATAATGATTACCACAAATCTTTTATATTAAATCGTATTATGAATTTTGTTTATATAAAATTATTTGTCGAAGGACAAATAATAGGTTTTTAATATTTAATAGAATTTCATTTAAATTTCTTCGATAAAACTCTGCTTGTATGAATTCTATTTACTTAAACTATCGTTCTATTTATATAAATGTTTTTATATTATAATTGGATCTTTGCTGCATAATAAGTAAAGAATTTATTTACTAAATATTGGAAAATTATTATATCTTCAAAATTGTTTCTATATTTCATTATATTATTATTTATTTTAGAAAAAATATTTTAAAATTTGTTCATATGAATTCATAATGAATAAAAAAAATTTAAAATAAAAAAATTAAAATTTCTTTTATTCTTAATGAAATTTTGTGAATATGTAGAGCATAATAGATTATATGTGTACAATGATTATAATCACATAATAATTATATAACAATTTTTTTCTTTTTTTTTTAATATTATTTTAAACAAATAAAATCAATATTCAAAGTTTCAATATTTTTTCATTCTTTTTAATATTATTTTATAACAGTACGAGATAGAGAAAATTTTATATTATTTTAATTATTTAATTTTTAACTTAAGCTCATTTTATTTTTTGTGAAAATATATTCAGATAAAAGTATCAAAAATTGAAAAAATACCGAAAATTTTAAAAGTTAATTTTTCTCTTTTAAAATAATTGCTCTATATATAATTCATTATGCTTTATAAACATTTTCAATAAAATCAAAATTTTCAAATAAATTTCATTGTAATATAGAATATAAATAATTTTCTGATTAATATAATATTTATTATTATATATATATCTGATTAATTAATATAATAATTGTATATCACATATCGCATTGAACGATATTCGTCTAACAAAATTATGAGAGTAATTAAAAATATTATTTCTAAATATTATTTATATATTTGGTACATGAAAGAGGTCAAACTTTTCAAACATCGAGGTTTTTAAGAACAAACAATAAAACAATCAGCAATTTTATTTTTTTCATTCTTGTATCCTGATCGTTCGGGATTGCACATTGCGAACGAACAAGTCTGTATAGGTATTATCTGAATGTATATATCGAGAAAAAGCGAACGTGTCTTTATGCGCGCACACACTTGAAATCAAACATGGAGCGTATTATTTCAACACTGCACATCGAAACTCGTAAATTGAAAAAGTTCAACGATGTTTTTCATACATAGAAAAGTTCGCTCACTGAATTATGCCATTTTCCAATTTTGCATATGTATCGCGTATTTCCATGTTTTTGGCTCTTAATATTTTTGCAATTTTAACATATTATCGTTTTTTCTTTCAAAGAAATGTTCTAAATTTGATAGATGAAAATGAAAAAAATTTAAAGATATGTTATGTATCGTTAATAATTTTATTATTATATTTTTACTCGCAAATACAAAGTTGTTATGGCATTTTATTTTTATTTTATATATTATCCAATGAACACACGTATCCACTTTAATAAAATATTTATCCATTTATTTATAAAATGTTAACTTATATATTATTTTATATTATTATTATATTATAAGTATAATTATTTATAATATTTATTTATAATGTGACCGTTGATAATTAATTTTGCTTTTTAATTAATCAATGTAGATATTTAACATACGAAAACACATGTCTGTAAATAACAAAATATATCATATATATCATATATAATATGATAGTTTTCATATATCTAGAAATAATGTAAAGTAAATGTAAATTATCTATATATATATATTATATGTTCATATCAAAATTCAATAGATCACTCCAAGTAATCAGAAATTTTGTATACAATACATGTCTAGAAATGAATCCAGTTAGAAAACAAAATGTGTAATACTATTAATGTATATATTTTTGCGATTAATTTGAAATTTGTTCGTGATTTATAATATTTTAATATTTTTATCTAATATTACAATCTAAATAATTAAGTTTATATTAATTATTTATGTATTATAAAAAATTATAAGTAAGTTATAAATATAAAGTTGAGAAAAAAAGATAAAATCAAAAGCATGTTTAATATTCATATAAATGCATATATAATTATATTACGATACAACATGTGATATTAGACTGTCGAACGACTATGAATTTGATTTATGTATTTTTCTATTTCTAAAGAAGATCCACTCTTGAATTCGATCACGATGTACATTTTGTTATTTTTTTGTACAATGTATCTTAACATAGCGATACTGTGGAAATTTTAAAAAAAGTCTCTTATATATTCTTATATTAATTAACTTTATATATTAACGCTAAAATTATACGCGAGAATGTAAATTACGAATAATTTTTTTAGAATTTGAGATAATTTTTAAAAATTTCATGTTTGAGGAGAGGAGATTGCCTTTGAATCCAATATTATGGTGAAATTTGGCAAAATTTTATAATAAATATATAAAAGTTATCTACAAAAGAGAACGAGATAACAAGATCAACGAGAAAAAATAATTTAATTTAGCCAACGACAATTCTTTTTAATGATGTGACGAGTCTGTTTAAATAAATACATATGTATTTACGTTTTATAACGAGTTACAAGTTTTATAATTCTATTTAAATAATCGATCCATGATGCATTCATTTTTTACAAGTTTCTTCTTTCATAATGAATAATAATTAATTCAAAATAAATATTAATGGTTTTCTAGTTTTTTCTTTGTTTCTTTATTTCTTTTGTATCACAGTCATTGATTCGAAAGTGAGGACTTAATAACAATGTAATGCTTACATGATAATTAAGATTTCTATGTTTTGAAAAAGCAAAGACCGTAAAATCATAAGTTGAAAACAGTTTATGAATCATCAATGATAGAGTGTAAAGGACTGTAAGCAATTCGATTACAGGTAGATTCGCTTGTTATCTGGGGAAAAAGAGAAAAAAGACAAAAAAAGAAGAAGAGTAAGGAAAAGAAAGTCGATAAAATAGTAGAATCGGCGGTGACGTCGAGCGTAAAGAGAACCCCTGTAGCGCAGCTAGTGGTATGGCGGGGGAAGAATAGCGGTTGGTGAGCCAATGAAGGGAGGAAATGCGCGGCGCAGATGCGCGCTAGATTCGAGCCGCCGCTGGGCTGTTCAGAGCGAGCGTGGACGTTTACCGCGTCGCATCTTTTGGGTTTTTCAGTTGATTCCTTTGTGAATGTTCTTGCTCTCGCAACGCGTTCATAAGCTACACGATTCTTAACTCGGTATTTCCTTCCGCGAGTGTTTCGATAGATTGATTTACGTTTGAAGTTTTAGTTGGATTTGTCGTTTAAATCTCAATTACGAAAATACTTAGAACGAATGGAATCGTGAGAACTTCCGGGATACACTGCAACCCGATTCGAACGCAATAGTGATCGACAGTGAGCACCAATGACATGTGCAGTGACATTGATATCGAACTTTAAACTATCAATCAAAATTTTCGCGTTGTTCGTCCATCAAATTAGACATGATAGATCATACCGTGTATCAAACATATAGAGATCTATGTTTCGTTCACACATCATCGGCGATGTTCACGTAAAAGTGCAAATTCAAGCCATGCTAGTAATCATTTTTGGTTTTCTATATATATTTTTTTAATCCCATTGCTGTCCATTTGTTTTCTATAAGTAGATTAATAGTATCCATAAGAATGTAAAAATTAGTTAGAAAGGACATCCGTGAGTGTAAGTAGTTTGCAGTGTCTCGTGAATTTGACTGTTCTAAAGACATCTACCTTTGCTCGAAGTTGGCAACATCGAACCCAGGATCGGAGCAGAAAGGTCAGTGTGCGTTTCATCGTGTTTCATTTATCGATCGTTGCGGCATACTTAACTATACGTGAAAACACGAAACATGAAATATGAGATACTAGAATGTGTTAAATATAATAACTATGAAATTATTGCTCTTATTAATTTAATTCCCAAACCAAAAAAAAAAAAACAATCGTTAATACGATAAATTGTTCGAAGATCGAATATTGGAAATCAATGTGATATCGGAATTTGCGATGATTTTCGAGAAAATAAGTAAACAATGAAAAAAGTGAAATTATCGACAATCTGATCGATCGTGGTTAGTTCCTTAACCAAATAATACAAATGTGACGGTTGAATGCTATTTAAAGAGTACTAGTAATTAAGATCGATAGCTCGATAAAATAACTGTTCTACAGAAAGGGATATAGTGGTAAGGAATGCATAGACGTGGAAATTTAAGATCGAACGATGGTGGAAGTATAGAAGGTGGTTGCGCTGAAACAAGCGTACGTTGAGTATAGGAACGTTGCGTGCAGGAACGATCTCGGTGGTCATTGGTGCGATACAGAAACAAGTGTGACTATCACGCGCGCATGAACGATTTGTTATTATCGAAAGAACAAGAGATTTAACAGATTTAATGAAATTTGAACTTCAGATTTTATTTTTGATTTCGTTTATTTTACTTTTCTTTTTTTTTTTGTTATTTTTATGCAAATTTATTATAAGTTATTTTATTAGATTATAACATATTTCACGATATCATTATTAATTTGTATTCACTATCTTAAACAATATCGTTTCATTCGCTATATTTGTAGCTTAAATTTATAGATTAAATTACATTATAATATATATATTTCTCCATATAAACTAGTCTATTACTATTATTAAAGTTATGTATTAGATGTTCTAATTTCATATACTTCCATTACGTAAATGGACCATGGGCTATGAATGGTAAGAGCAAAGTACATCTTATAAAAAAAGATTTTCTAATTTCAATCATATATATTAGCATAAAAAATATATATTGTTTCGATTGATTTTTATATGCAGTCTTACAGTTGATTAGCATCAAGTGGTATATTCATCCGATTGACTTTGGATGTTAATGATCGAGTGAGCATCGAAGACTGATAATTGACGTCGGTAGTTCTCATGAAAGTCAACGTACTGTAAAGTTCTCGGTTCATTCATCGTTACCGTGTTGCGTAATAATTGTTGTTGGCACGTGCCAAATGTCATATACAGTCGTTACTTCTGCCATTTGACAGAAGTGTAATTAAGAAGCGTTCGTGTTTAATCGATTTGCATGGAATCTATGTTAACACGTCTTACGCACGAAATTCGTATTTCGTTTTGATATCCCAAAAATATGATACATTTTGAGAATTATTCGATGCATTAAGATATGTCGTGATTAAATGCTCAATAAATTTCACTTAATGCTGAACGTCTATTTTCATTTTAATTAAGATGAGCGAATTTGTTCGATCTTTATTTACTCTGTTCTCATGACGTTCACAAAGCTTTGATACAGTACAGCAAACAAGAATTAGAGTAATTATGGGAGAAATGCCGCTTATTTTAAAAGATTAATATGTATTTACTACATACTTAGACTTCTTAACAGAAAATTTTTCTAAAGATATATATTGTTAATATACATATAATATATTTATTATAAAATAAATTAAATTTTTAATGTTTATTAAATCGAAAAAAAATTTTTAAATCAAACTTGTTAATTTAAATTTTTTATTGAAAAATTAAATAAATATAAAGTAAATATAAAGTAAATATAAAGTATTGATAAATTTTCTTTTTCAAAAGTATAATATAATAAAATATTATAAAAGTATGTATAGAAATAAATATTACTTTTATCTCTCTTTAATCTCACCGTTTTTTTTCTCCACAATTATTATATAGAATATGTTTGGAAATAGAATAGGAAAAAATTCAAAAGAATTCGTTCGTCAATGACTTTCGTGTTAATCGTGTTAATCAATCGAAGAAAAATAAAACGAGAACGAACGATATCCAGCATGCGTATTTTATTCTTGAGATCGGAAGAGGTTAGTAAGAGTACTTAAGTATCGAGTTGGACGAGGGCTAGATGAAGGTAGAAAGAGTGTTACCACTTTCCCTCTTCGAAGTATAATGTTTACCACCCTTTCCCTATCTCCAAGCATACACAGCTATACAAGTCGCGTACATTAAAGCAACTCGTGGAAGAGGTTCGTTGAGAGGTTACGCCATTACTTACCAAAAGCTACTCTTGGTCTTCTTTCACATCCCCTGTTCCGCCACGTTTCTTTCTTACCTCTATCTTCTTGCCTTCTTACCTTTGAAAACGATCGAGCTTTACCGCGATGACAGTGGCCGACGTAATCGACACGCGGTCTCGTTTCTCAAACGAGAAGCTCGAAACGCATCTTTTATTGTACCGCTCTGGCCACACGAATATTATTATTCATTGTATATAAAGCAAATTCTTGGATAATTGATGTTAACAACGTTGATAAATTTCGAAAATCTATATGTGCCGTTTAGTTTCGAAAAAACTTGATTTTAGCTTTCGATAATTTTTATTTTGTACTGCAAACAACCTAACCTCAAAAATCCACGTGTGTTTTTTAATTTTTAATTAACTTTACTGTTTACGATTTTAATTAATAATTAATTGTTTCCATTAAGAGAGAAATAAATAACTAAAAGCATAAAAATATATTTTTATTATGATCTGAATATATTCCATGAACAAAACAAATTATCGAAAACATAAACGAGGCAATTATATAATTACAATATCGGCTCCGTATCATATAATAGATTCTTCGGTGAGAGAGGTTCATTATCGATAATTAATCTTATTATGAGCTTCTAACGTACCGCTAATAGAGAAAGATCAGCCATTGCCGCTGTCGATCGACTCAAGCTAAATCAAATATAATAGATTTTTTATCGATTCGTTTTTTTGCATATCTTTTATCTGCGGTCAAGTTTATGAAGAATATTGAATTTAATGATTATATTATCGATTTTTATCTATCACAACAAATATACTTATTTAATTTTATTTTTCTTTGGAAAAATATTTAAACATTAATCTATAAAAATAGTTATTGAAAACGACAGTTTATATTTCTTTCTTCGATTTCAAATTTAATGGTTATATTATCGATTTTTATCCATCACAACAAATATATTTATTTAATTTTATTTTTCTTTGGAAAAATATTTAAACATGAGTCTATAAAAATAGTTAATGAAAACGACAGTTTATATTTCTTTTTTTGTATTATTTCTTACTAAATGTGTAATTGATCATCTTGTACTTGGCGAGAAATTAAATTGAATATATACCATAAACGGAGTTAGATGGATAATTCTCGAACCGGTTAACGTATAGGTATATGTCACGATCTAGAAATGGTGTTTTTCCGTGATCATACGCATTCACGCGACAAATGTGTGTATACATGTATCTCACTTTTTGATTTTCTTTTAAGGAACATTAACGATTCATCAGAATTTCATCAGGCCATGTTTTCAATGTATATCGTTTTAAAGTAATTACACGGTAGCTAAACTGAACATGAAATTTTCTTCAGAAGGGAAGGATTAAGAAGCTCTCGAGACATATGTATTTTGTGCACGCAACAGGCTGTGCTGGCAGCCATAGGGTGTAGGTAATAAAGGAAGCAACATTACTATAAAAGAAATACGATGTGGTGTTCCATTTATCGAATACGGTTGTATATGTAGGTCATGTGATTTGGAAAACACACAAATGTGCTTGCATTTCGATATTTCGAAATGTTAATTCAATGAAAGGTTCATAATAGAAATTCAAAACAGTTCTTATTAATTTTCTTTAAAAAAAAAAGGATATATTTTAATATTATTTTTAATTTTTAATTTTATTTGATTCTTTAAATTTTTTTTTTAACAAAATATTTATTATACAATAATGTTGTGAAATATTGCCTATAATCATGAAACGTGTACGAAATAGAAAGAAAATTTTTAAATGATGATTCTAAAGATTATATTCTAAAATAATATAAAAGTTGATACGCAAAAATGATTGATAGTTCTTTTTCCATCTCGTTTCATTTAATGTAAAATTAAATTCTTTGTAATTTGAAAAATAAAGTTCAATATTTTTTTATTTATATTTTTGTGAATTAACTATATTCGTTACTACTACCTACTTGGTCTGAACATTTTGCATTGCAGAATGATTACGTTAAGATTTGCATATCACCAGGAAATGTTTCAACGCCTTGGGGGACTAACTAAAATCACAGATAAAAAAACGTTATACATTGAATATATATATATATATATATACTGCCAGACATATTTATGATAATAACAAATGTGAAATGAATAATAAATGTTACGTGACAATATTTATGCGATAAGATGAAATAAATTAAATGTAGACAATATTTATTATGTTATGGTTAACCATGAATATAAGGGGTCTTACTGTACATATCTAATCTAATTATCATGATTGAAGCGAACAAGGGTCTTTTTTCGAGCCCCTCAATTTGATTCCACGGGCAGAGGAAACGATTATTCATACATAATTAGCAATATTTTTCCCATCTTTCTGGGATTTCGTTTGTACATCGTTTGCCATCGTAAATTTTCTTTTATGTCGCGTATATGTGTGTGTCTAACTACATTCGCAAACAGTTTATCCATCGATCGATTTGCTTGAGGTTTATAAATCGTTGAAAGCTAGTGATTTCCGGCCGACATAGGAAGGAAGAAAGGAAGCAAGGGAAAAGGGAGAACGGCGATTCGTCGTTGAATGGTTGAATGGATAACACAAGACACGTTCCTCGAGCAACGAGTGCATCCTTCCGTGCTTATGCATTCATTGGAGCGCAGAGAACAGCTACGGGGTTATTTTTGTCGTTTCGTCTAAGCGAGAAGGAGACGATCCCGGATAAATTTATCACTCGACATCTTGCTACCGGGAATTTTGGAAAGGGTTA